TGGTGGTGTTAATTTTAACAATTTTGGTCTTATGCAGCTCGTAGCAAGATATGTAAAGGAAACTACTTACTTTAGGAAATGAGGAATGAGATGTTATTTAATTCACATTTTCTCCGTATTGGTAATTATTTTATTTTTTTTATCATGGTGGTGGCGGGCTAACGTGTGCACCTTGACTATTCGCTGGGTACCTGCTACCTTCCGTCATCACATGTACCGGAGATAGGAAAAAATCACCTAGTATTTATTACTAACTTCCAGCAGAGTGTGTAATTCTTGGGATGGATTTCCATGGTGTTGCCTAACAGTGGATGTATGTAGTGGATGGCTCACATTGTTTAGCAATAGTCTCTTGTTATTGAAATTGTTGTGACCAGTTGAGAGTATGTTGCTAAAGTCTATGTCTCACATTTCAGGCTATTACCTCATCTGGTCTGAAGAAAGGTGAATTATTCTTAGCGGATGTTAACACCCAGCTGAAGAACAAAAATGTTACCACTGATGTAAAAGTGGACACCAATTCCAATGTGAGTTTGAGAATACTTTCTTACCTTTTATTGCCTTTTTCCTTCTAATTTTCAGCTTGATTACTGGGATCTAATATTAGTTTGCCTATGTTGAGTAACTTCTAGTAATTTTAACTGGGGATACTATTTTGAATTTATATGCTTTGGAGATGTTAGGTGGCAACATGTCTGGTTGTGTGAGCCATATTGATCTGGTCACACTTTGTTCAGACTTGATCAAACCTTCCCTTAAGAATATAACCCAAGAAATCTGGAAAACTAGAAGTAAAACTAAAGGAGTCCGCTGAAGTATTAATTTGGTTACTGTGTTATCTTCTTCCTTCTTGCTGTCTGATTCAATGCAAGTCCATGGAGTCGATACCTTTCTCCTTGTGTATTGAAAGAATGTGTTTGTTAGATTAATTGGTGTGTACGAGTTGTTTTAACACTTGCAATTAACAATGTTAATATGTTGTCCAGCAATTACAAGGTAATAATTGAGATGTTAGGACATCCACTCTATCACAATCTGCCATAGTTTCTTAAATGGCAAGTCTTTTTCTAACTTTAACTCTTGCAAAGGTTTGAAAAAAGATCTATCCTTAGTAAGTGTCTTATGTTGCCCGTTTGCGTGCTCTCCTCCATTTTGCTGTTGGATCTCTCCTGCAGACTGTCTTTTATCCACTTAATAGCGTCTCGGACATTAACATTTTCACTGGTGTTGATTATGGTTATGTGCTGAGTTCCTTTATATAAGTCTCTCTCTCTCTGATTTGTGAGGTTTCCCTTTAAAAGATGTGCATTTTTTCCTGATTTATAAGAGTAAATTTATTTTTCTGAGGATGGTAAGACTTTTGTGAACTGAAGCACAAAATTTGTGCCAAAATACATGCAAATCAGTTCTTTTACTAACTGTTGGAAGCCGAGGAAATCTAACATCCTATCTGCTGTACTAACATCTTCTAGTCTACACCGAAAAGCCAAAAAAGATATATATTTCTCTATTCCAATGTATGTATTCTTTCTTATTTGCTCCCAAACATCGTTGATTCCTTTCCATCCAAATCACCCACCATATGCAGGGAGGAACTTTATTGAGTAAATTTTAAAAGTGAATTTGTCAATCTTTAGAGTGATTATATATCTTGTAGAGTTATAGTTCAAAGTAGACATTATGATATTGGTAGGGATTGAATGACCTCCAAATGCAAACTTTTAGTAACAGAAGACTGAATGGTCAAGTATGACAACCAAAATAAATGAGTTTTCTGGTAGTCAATAACAAATGAGTTTCACAATCAAAGTCGAAGGCCAGTCAACTGGGAGGAGGAGTAATATGTGTTTGAGTTATCTAACTTGTTCTTCCCTCTCCCCTTCCCTCTACACTCTCACAAAAAGTTCTCCGTCTTCTTTATTTGGTTTTGATTTTGAGACATTGATTGGGAAATTGACAAGTTCAAGCTTCTTTTGTCCTAACTGAGTTGGAGCACAGCCCGACACTGTGCTAATTAATTTGGATTGAATGATGCAGGTCTACACTACCATCACTGTTGATGAACCTGCACCGGGACTCAAGACAATCGTCAGCTTCGTATTACCAGATCAGAGATCTGGAAAGGTACCTTTGCTTTTAACAATATTTCTCTGCAATTGGTTGGTAGTTTAGAATTGCGTGATTCCTAAGCAAAATAATTATGTTACAGGTAGAGCTCCAATACTTGCATGAGTATGCTGGGATCAGTACTGGCATTGGACTTACAGCAAGTCCTCTTGTCAACTTCTCTGGCGTTGCTGGCAACAATACTGTTGCTTTGGGCACTGATCTATCATTTGACACTGCCTCAGGCAATTTCACAAAATGCAATGCTGGTCTGAGTTTTTCCACTTCTGATCTGATTGCTTCCTTAGCACTGTAAGTATTTGTGTGCCTCCTTGTACATATGTATTTGTTAGATTCTTCATTGAACAAAGTCTGTCTTTTAGCCATTCATTCTCTTTCTTTTTGTCAAATGATTTCCTTGTAACGTCTTGTTTTTCTGTCTTTCTACAAGAAACTCTTTTGGGATTTGAATTAAATGTCTCTTGGGGACCAACATGTTCTATCATTGTCTTTGTTGTTTTCTAATCTTGGATTTTTCTTGGACTAAGCAATAAGTTTATACAGGAATGACAAGGGTGATACCCTTAGTGCTTCCTACTACCACACTGTGAAGCCGGTGACAAATACAGCTGTTGGGGCAGAGTTGACTCACAGCTTCTCAAGCAACGAGAACACGCTGACCATCGGGACACAGCATTTGTTGGACCCATTGACCACGGTGAAGGCTCGGGTTAACAGCTATGGTAAGGCAAGTGCTCTCATCCAACACGAGTGGCGACCAAAATCCCTTTTCACAATATCTGGTGAAGTGGACACGAGGGCAATTGAAAAAAGCGCCAAGATTGGGTTGGCTGTAGCCCTCAAGCCATGAGTCTGTTACGACCTTACAGAGAAGTGAGTGAAGCAGTGTTGTTTTGTATGGTCCAGAGTAATAAATTAGATAGACTTGTTTCAGCACATTGTCCATCCGCACCAGTAAGATTAACCTTCAACTGGTAATGCAAACTCATGAATTTTTGCTTATATCCATCTCAAATGTCGATTGAGGGACTGGTTTTTGACTTAACTTGGCTTCATCATTCACGCAATTGATTAATCTTTATTTGTTCATTATTTAATGGTATGAACAGTTTTCCCTTATGTTGTTGGATGTCAGTGATGGCACAGAGGAGCTCTCCAGTAAGAGCTTCCAACCGTCCTTTCTTCTTTTCTTAGTCCTTATCAGGAAAGGAATTTTTAGACTGAAAGACCTTTTTGATTGGTGCTAGTTGCTTGGCCATCTACTGAGCGAGATCACTGACATATATGGTTGCTATTAAAGGAGATCTTGTGAAGCACACTGCATCTATTGTGGATGCCTGTTAGCTTTGTTAATCTTGGTTGGTGGAAAATCAACTAATCACTAAAGTTTACATCTACAATGCCCACTTGGCTACAATTGCATAAAAGAGCTCACTGATCACTGAAGTATGTAATATAGTGCATATATTCTGCCAGTGCCCCCAGCTCCTCTCTATACCAACATCACTTCAAGAAAATGAAGTAAAATCCCAGGTGGTTCATATACTTCTCAAGTGCACCTATTTTCCACACCCTCCTTGAAAATACTACAATAGACTATCACATCAGATACTTTGTACAAGTGTTTAAGAAAATAGCCTGCTATGTGTAGCTGGAGAATGTGCACATAATTAGTTCTCCCACGTTTCCTTTTCTAACACAATACATGGAGAAGGTGATTTGGAAAATACTCTCTCTCTTCAATAGCTATCCTTTGTCTTCCTTGCAGAAATTTCAAGGCAGTTGGATGCTTCCTAATCTTCCAAGTTTAGATGTACAAAGGAAACCATCATATCTGCATCGTAGCCTAGATGTTTTTTCTTGAAGCAAACTGTTCATTTACATCTGCTCTGAAAGTCACATCCTCTGGCTTATGAGGAATGAAGACAGTAGATGAATTAGAAGAGGCACCTATCTCCTCATTGTGTCAAAGTATTGGGTAATCAAAATCATATCCATGATATCCTTGGATGATGCCCCTGGAACACTATTTGAGAAACCGAGTACACTTTCTTTGAGCCCTTCGACAATAGCTTGTCGTTGACGAGCAATGCCAAGCCCTGCTAAATACTTTGATTTTGCTTCAGCCTCTGCTTGCTTTATCTGCAGAATCTTCTCTCCTTCTGCCTTCTCGTATGCAGCTTCTCTCAATCTTGAAGCTGGTTTTCATGAATTATCGTTTCACATTAGAAGACCAAAGGAGACATGGTCCAATATGCAAGCAAGAATTGAAAACATAACCCCCATGGTCCAAAACTTGTAACTTTTAACTTTGTATAACTACTGCTTTGACTCTTTGCTAGAGGAGTTAATGCCAGGATGTGATACAAAGACAAAACATAGCAACCACGTATTCCTCGTTGGAAACCAAAAAGTGGTTGTAGTCCAAAGGAAAAACTAAAGACGGATTGTAATTCAGTGGTAAAAAACACAGATTTCCAATTTTCCCCGAGAATACTATGAAGCAATATTTCCAGATCACTTGATCTTGGACAAGCCAACAGCTAGAGAAAAATTTACTTTTATTTTAGGGATAAAAAAGTAAGCCAGTGAACTTTAAAGATAACCATACCTGCATTAATCTCATTCATTGAACTTTTCACTTTGTCATCTGGTTCAACATCTACAATAAGAGTCTGAACTATCTCATATCCATAAAGAGACATTGCCTATGTAATTCCCGAAGGAAAATCAGATAAGAGACTGAATTTAGTTGCTTGACTTGTATTTGTTTGCTTAAGAGTTGCAGTATCAATATAAAAAAATTACCTTGGCGAGTTGCTTCGCCACTGTTTTGGCTATCTCGGTTTTGTGTTCAAAAACTTGATCCAGTTCCAATGTTGGCACCGTTGCCCTAATAACTGACAAACAGAATGAGACAATATAAGGTATGAATAAGTAAACATGTCATCATTATCATCTCTACAATATGGACAGGAGGTAAAGCAAAATCTAACTAGTGATATTCACTATATAAATGATCACATTCCGAGTCCCAGCAAGACAAAAAGAAGTTAGGTGATTTCTTTCCATTTACTAAATTTGGCGGATAGTGTTATTCGGTATCCGTGATAACGAAAGCTAGCAGATAGTCATACTAGAATAGTAGAATAGTCCATTGACCGAAACATGGTTATCCAAAAAAAATTGCAAGAAGCAATCATGAAAATTCTGGATATATAGTGCAACAATAATCAAGTCTGAAATTTACTTCACTTGGAAGTTTTTAGAAGGAAAGTCTAATAAACAGATAAAGTTATGATATTTGCATCTCACCATCAAAGACATATGCTTTAATTTGTTCTTTTGTGTTGCTTAGCTTATAGAAGGCATCTGCTGCCTTATCTGCCAAGGCTCTGTACTGGATTGAAGCAACTAGAATCACAAAAACGTTGTCCTGAGAATATAGCTTTCATAAGAAACAACTAAAACGTTCCCTTCGCAAGATAGTTGTAATTCAAACTACCAAAGGATAATGCAAAATTTGACTAAAAAAACTTTCAATCTCGAGGAGAGAGTATTTAAAACACCAGAAACCTTTGCCCCAGAGGAAAAAAGAGAGACAAATATGCAATTAGAAAAACCTTAGTCTTGGATTCACAGCGAATGTCAAGTTGCTGTACTCTGAGAGAAAGATAACCAGCTCATTGGCTTCCAAAACACCAAGGCATGAAGTGACAACCTGGACCAACAACATCTTCATACTTGCCAAAATTTTCCTTTATAGCAACTGTGGATTGATCCACTTGAACACAACCCAAAGCTTGCCCCATAACTTCAATGATCACAAGACACAAACATTACTAGTATTTACAGCATATAGAAAGGATATACTTGAGATAAAATTAACATCAGAATTTTGGTTTATTCACACATGTCGAGATTAACCGTACATGTGAAGCTCAAGATTCACAAAGGGTACGTCTTCAAGAAAATATTAAACAAAACAAACAAACAAAAATGGTAAAATTAATGCGAAAGTTGATATCTTTTCTAAGCCAATAACTAGTCAACTACTTTTGGATTAAATGAACATACAGAAAAAAGTCATTTTCAGCAATAAGTTGGCCATTATGTTATCATTCTTCAGTGCAATTACGAAAATGCACCAAAGTAGTAATTAGGTGGTGGAAGAAACCAGTAAGCTAGGAAAATTTTAAATTAATTTTGACGTGTTTGTGCTTCAGATTAGGGGGTTACATGTTACAGTCTAATTAGTCACCTATGTGAAATTAAGGGGAAAAACTCTTTTCCATATAGAAAATGCTCCACTTTGATATTATGCATTAAAGTGATTAATGAATATATGAAAGACACATGCTTTGCATTCATTGGTATAAACAAATAACACGGAAATATCTTCTCCCAAAAGAAGCTCCTTTAGCACAAATATAATACGTAGTATTTTAGTACTGACTTGCACACTTAATCTCCACTTCTTAAGGAAATTCTTTCTTTTAATTGTTGGATTCCAGAGTAATTCAAATATGACCAGCTTTCCTTGGTTGATTATCTTTGATGACTAAAAAATTGCACTCTCTTCTTCTTTTTATAACCGTGCTGTCTAGATTAACTTCTGCACACCTCAACTAGGCTATTTATTACCTCCCACCTAACACAATAATTTTACGCAAAAAGGTTGGTCTCAGTACAAAAATTGCCTTCAATAAAGAATGTTGCTCAACTGTCAAACCAGAACGGTATAGTAACAAAAAGAACAAACAAAAGTATACTACTATCTGCTAAGACATGACGACTGCAGTTCAACAATTGATATAATTTTATTTTTTTTGAGAAAGCTGACCGTTTTCTACGTGCTACACTCCACTATATGAAGCTGCAATTAACAAAAAATTTACCCTTTTTCTGAGGAATTGAATCAGTGACAATTACAAATTCCCCCTATGACAGAAATATATTTACTCCATGGTGCTTTTGCTACATTCTTTTCAAGTAGGAGTTTACCACTCTCAAAGATCACTACATCATGTAAAATGTGTGCTCCAATTTCCTTGCCAGTCATCCAAGGATAAATGTGGGCCAACAAAATATATGGAGGGCGATATGAACGAATGATAGAAACAGATTTCTGCCAATCCAATTCTATGCTTCGCCATTTGGCTTTGGTGAATTCTGAGGAAGTTGATGACGGTATGGAGAAGCATGAGAACCATTTGGAATTGAAAGACTTCTTGGTTGCTGTTGTCCATTCCTTGAGAATGATCCCTGCGTTTTAAGGCCATTTCTTGTATTTGGGCTTGATCCAATTCGGTCAGCTTGCATGGTCTGAAAATAGTACGAGGAGCTGGCCATGCCCTTGAGGTTCGGCAAAGGCTTCAAGGCTTCAACCACTTCACTCATCATAGGTCTAGCTTTGGAATCCCGGCTAAGGCATCGAGCAGCTAACTGTGCAGCTTTCTGCGCACCTTTTATAGAAAAATGACCTTCAAGTCTAGGATCTATTAATTTATAAAACCTTCTTCTTTCACCCAAATGTGGCCGCGCCCACTCAACAAGGTTATGCTCCCCATTTGGCCGGTTCTTGTCCATTGATCTCCTACCTGTCATCATTTCAAGCAGAACTACACCAAAACTGTAGACATCACTCTTTGATGTCAAATGTCCTGATACAAAAGAGTGGCATGCGTTTCAATCAATAAGAGGAATCGATAATCTAAGTAACGGAAGTTTCACTCAGCAGATGTGGAAGCATTCAACAGCCTTTTCAGCTGTGGTTTTCAGGTCATAGAGTTGTACAGAGAGACATTAATACTAAGGAATACTAGATTAAAATGGTTTGAAGGATTTGTAAGCAAACTAGCGTCCAACTAGGTAGGACATGAAGAGACACGGAGAAATTTGATAAAGCTGAAATGTGGGTAAGCATTAAGCCACCAAGATCTTAGTGTTACCTGTCATAACATACTCTGGAGCTGCATATCCATATGTGCCCATGACACGAGTAGAAACATGGGTCTTGTCGCCCTCTGGACCGTCTTTGGCAAG